GCAGAAGTAGCGTGCTAGTGGCCACCGCTTTGCGCAGCATCTCTGCCGACGGGGAAGAAAGATTTCAAGATAGAAAATCCACCGCCTGTACCATACACCTTCATACATCATAGCATCATACGTATGTGTGGTTCTGAGGATAATTAGGACCGTTGGAACCACACGGTTTAGATAAAGGGACTTACGGGAGTCCCAAAGCTGTTTTTTCAAAAGGCAACTGGACTTCGTTTTCCCCCCCTGAAGACGTTTTGTTTCTCATCCGAGAAGCTTCTTCGATTCAGTCAGAAGAAGCAAGACATCTTCAAGGGAAAAAACAACAACAAAGAAAGTCCAGTTGTCTTCATCGGTCCTTAGCATCTCCAGTTAAAAGAGTCTTAGTGGCTGTTCCGGTCTGTGGCTGCTCCAGCCCTCTGGAACGATCTCCCCATGGAGATTCGGACCCTCACCACCCTTCAGGCTTTCAGGCTTTCCGTAAAGCCGTTAAGACCTGGCTGTTCCAGCAGGCCTGGGGCTGCTGAGTTCCATCCCCACTCGAATTGGTATGCTTGTTGAGACCTTTTAAATTGGTTCTGTATAGTTGTTTGTCTTTGTTTTCTTTTCCTTTTGTATTGTTTCCCTTCCCTTCTGGTTTTGTTAGCCGCCCTGAGTCCCTCAGGAATAAGGCGGCATACAAGTTGAATAAAACCAAACCAAACCAAACCACTTAGGTCCCACAGCTGGGAAGGACTCTTTCTGCTCCCAACCTTGCAGAGTTACTGCTATTCCTTTGGTCGCACTAAACTAGGAAGACCTAAGGATCTAATTTGCAAGCTGGAAACTTTCCACGCTTTGTTTACTGGAAAGGAAGGTTGTAGCAGGAACCACTTAGGGTATGTCTGCATTAGAGATGCACTGTCATCTATTCTGAAGGTAAGCAAGAAATGCAAAAGGCATTCGACATAGTTCAGTGGTCACCTAGGAAACAGCAATTCCATTAGACCAGGGGTGTCAAACTCAAGGCCTGAGGGCTGGATCCGGCCCACAGGGTGCTTAGATCTGGCCCTTCCTGAAAAGAAGTGAAGGACTGGCCCGCAGTGCCTATGCCAGTGAAAACGGAGCTTGGGAGTAGCTGAAAATGGAGCTTGGAGCCTGTTTTCGCTGGCAGAGTGCTCAGGCCACCACTTGAGTGATGTTGAGCTGGCTATGTCTACCCTGGCCATGCCCACTCCAGCTCCCTAAGGTCAACTTGAGTGATATTGAGTTGGCCATGCCCACCCCAGCTCCCTAAGGTCAAACACAATCCTGATGTGGCCCTCAATGAAACTGAGTTTGACACCCCTGAATTAGATGGTTATCATGCTGGCTGGGGAATTCTGGGAGTTGAAGTCCACGTATCTTAAAGTTGCTTGGGTTGAGAAAAACAACTCTAAAGTTTTGAGTTCCCTTCTTTTTTCTTTTTTCTTACCCAACAGTCATCCGCAAAGCAGACACACAAAATCAGCCCCATGATGATTGCAACAATCCCAAATGAGATTCCTAAGGTTCGTGAGCTGAAAGAGAGAATGAGGATTGATTGATTGATTGATCGATTGATTGATTCAGCGTATGACTTATCACTCTTGGATTAGCAATATATAAATTAACATTTCAACTAGATGAGTAAGAGAACGAGGAAGGAAAGAGCAAGCAAAAGCAGACTGACGAATTCAGGAATTGTAAATTCTCCAGGAAGGTCTGAATCTCTTCTACTGCAAAGCTGGTGCCTGAAAATTTGGAGTTTGATGTTGAATCTTAATTACGATCACACAATCCAAGTGCTTTTCCCCCCTCCTAAGTGGCTTTTCACTATGCAAGAAATATTAGATATAATCACAGCTTT